CCTCATGGGACCCCTGGCACTGGGCAGGATGCCTCAGTCACTTCTCCAGGGGACATTCAGGTCTTTTCTCCTCATCCAACTTTGCAGCATTCCCAGAAGACTGGAAAACTCTCCCTTGCAGAGAGAAACTGAGGCCTAAAGAGAGCAAGCACGCATGAGCCATAAGTGAGTCCAGAGCAGGGCCAATAGCCCATCAGAAAGCTCTTGGATCTCTGTGGCATGACATCCTCTTGGGACACCTGGCTGCCAATCATCCATTAGAGCCTCCCACTTTAGAGATGGGAAACCATAGGGTTAAGGAAGGGAGATAACTTGCTTCGCAACTAATTATTGACACAACCAAGTCGCTGCAACCTGAAGCATTGCAGCTTCAGAGAGGTACCAAAGGATGAAGGTTTAAAATGGTGCTTGGGGGCCGGGGATTAGGCTCAGTGGTCCCACCGCCTGCCTTGCAAGTGCAAGGACCTGAGTTCGATTCCCAGTATCAAAAAAAAAAAAAAGGCACTTTGGAATCAGAGCTGAATTAAATCCCAGCTCCTCCTCTCTTTCCCAGAGAGAATGAGCTCAAGTTACTGGACTTCTCTGGGCTTTAGCGGCCTCCTCTGTAAAATGGACATAATAGAAGTGACCTTACAGGGCTTTCAGGGTGAAATGAGCTCCAGAGTGCGCTTAGCATGTTGCAGTGTGCCAAGTGGGAGTCACCCCTCCCACCCCGGCCCCTCGACAGCCTCCAGTGCCCGCAAGCACAGCTGCACGCACGCACACACCCACCCAGCCAGCCTCCCCTGCCTCCCCCTGCAGCAGGCAGCCAGCACGTCTTAGGTCAGCTGGCTGGAGCCGAGGGGGTGTGGTGGCTCTAGCTGGGGTTTTGGTTGGGAGGCTGGCACTGCTCTTGATTAATTTCCCCTTCTCCGCACAGCTCCGGCCAGCTTCTCATGGCCATCCTACGTAATTATGCATTTCCCACCTAGGGTGTCCAGCATTGGGCTGTTTTTGTTTTCTCCCCTTTATTCCTGCCACTGTGCTTTTCCAGCCACGCCTTGGACCAGCCAGCTCAGTGCCCAACTCCTTCTAAGCTGTTTTGCATTCGCCCCCGGGCCCGCCGTGCCCCCACCCAAGTTTCTATTTTCCCCCAGGCTCCACCAGCTTTCCGTGGTTTCTCTTGGCCTGGGCTCAAGCCTGGTGTGACATGTCTGGTGTGGCCGTCCTCTCCTCCCACATCGGTCGGGCTGGCAGCAAGTGTATCCAGGCAGGGGATAGCAAAGCTGGGCTCTGCCAGCCCAGGTGCCAAGCCAAACAGCTGGTACACCATGTCTGACTCTGCACCTGGAGCCTGGACTGCCAGACTGGCTGGTCCCATCCTTCGCCCCAGCCCCTGTCCAGTCTCCCCCAAAGCTACTTCCTACAGCCCTGTGTTTGTCTGGATCTAGCTGATAAAAGTAGACCGCAGGACCGAGCCTTCCCTGGGGCTCCCAGAGTATCCACAAGAGTGTGCTCAGGAGCCCTCCTTCCTCCAGGTGAGGAGCAGCCTTCTCCAGGGACACCTGCCCCAGGGTGCACCTGGCCTGCGCTGAGGAGGAACAGCACACCTGGGGAGCACAGGCACAGGCATGTACCCTAGACATCTCCCAACAGGAAGCAGGACATCTCCACTCGCTAATACTCAGGGAAGAGGAAGTCACCTGATGACAGCTGCCATACAATGGCCTCCCTTTCGGGGTGGGGAGCCCAACAACTTGGGGGTCCCCTACCTTTCCATCACCAGTGCTGACCACACCCAGCCCGTGGTCTTGTCTGCCTCTGTTTCCTGGTCTACAGACAGAGCATCTTGAGGAGGGGTTTTGTGTGGGGAATGGGACAGTGTGTATAAAACAGCCCCCAGGGTGCTCCACATACTGTCCTCTGTCCCCACACCTGTCCTCAGCCTCGCAGCCTGAGCCTGGTTTTCTGTCACTGAAGTGGAGGGACCTGGAGTAGGTGGGGCAGCGCCTCACCACGAAGTCTAAAGTAAAACACCTTGAACGCCACCACCACCAACTTCCAAAAGCTCAAGACAGATACCTACACAGAATCTTTGAGTTGGGTCATGCACCACTCTTCATTACACACGCGCACACACACACACACACACACAAACACACACTAATGTCCTGTAGGCAGAGCAACCAAGCTTCCAATTTAGTTTGCCTGAGAAGTTCGGTCACCCTCTAGGGTTCATGCTTTATTTACAACTCGTCCAACGTGTTGCTCACGTGCGCTTCGTGTGTGCCAAGCTCTTAATGACCTGATCCTCCATCCTCCATCATGCCAAAGCCAGAGGACTGTGTGTCACCCTGACTTCCCCTCTCCCAATTCCCACATCCAGCCAATGCTATTACTACTAATAATTGCAGCAGTGGCAACAAAAGCTTCCATTCTGTGTCTTTACTGACCAGTGACTCATTTTGTGAGTTCTGTTGAGGAACCAAGAATCACCCCTTGGGACTTGAATACTTTGAAACGCAGTGCATCCTGACAGGAACATTGGTCCTTTATTTGGTACTTAACACACAATCTAGAACTTGTTGGTGTCCACTGCTTCATGACATGCTACCCTTTTCAGCTCAAACAGTTTTTGGTATTCATCGTGCCCAACAAATACCAAGGTAGCCCTGTAGATACCTGTGCCCCTTCCACTTGGCTGAAAAGAAAACAGCACAGCGGTTGGGTAACCTGCCCCAGGTCTTCCAGCTGGCGAGGGAAGGATATCTGAACCCAGGGAACTTGGCCGCAGAGACCTAATGACACAGCATCTTGATGTTCCTAGTCCATCAACATTTCTCTTCACTGCTGTCCCCTGCTTCCTCCATGCAGGGACCTCTTCACTGCCCCCCCCAAATGTCTTCTGAGACTCCTGCCAAACTGATTTCAAAGACACAAACCCTATCGTCTTGCTCTCCTGTCAAACGCCCGTCTAGGGCTCCCCACGATATTCAGAGTAAAGTCCAAGTCCTCAGTAAGATCCCTGCCTACTTGCCACAGCTCCGTGGAGCCTTCTTGCTGCAAATCGTTCCCACTTAACATGTATTTCATCTGCACGACACCCTTGCAAGGTAGGCAGGAGAGATCATGAGTCTGTCTGAAACACAGGCCGTCTGAAACAGAGAGGGAAGCCACGTTTTCTGATTAGCAGGCTGCTGCTTTCTTCACAGGATGGAAAGAAGCAAAATCCACTCAGCTGCCTTATCCTGAGGGAAGTGGGGAACAGGGCCTGGAGCCCCTGCCCTGGTCAACCAATTAACAGACTAAAAGGGCTTGGAGTGGCTGAGGCTCATCCAGATCTCAAGCCACAGGGGCTGCCCACTTCCCCAGTGTGCCAGGGAAACTGCTCGTCCAGCCCAGGAGCTCCCTGCCTTGTCTGAAAGCAGATCTTGAGATGTTTTAAGCAAAGGATATGATTCATAATTTTAAAAAATAAAAATAAAATACCAACTTAACCTCAAAATAAGTGCAAAGAAATCCAATGAAAGGCGCATTTTTCCTATGAAGTCTCCTCTGGATGAAGCATCAACGCTTCCCCTCCCCCTCAACGCGTGTGTGTGCGTGCACACGCACGCACGCACGCACACCCACCCTCTTATTTTGGGCCACGCATGCCATTTGCTGACACCCTAAGCAATTGTTTGGTCAGCACTGCTGGTGGGCAGCAAGCATGGGCTTTCCTGACCTTTGGTCTCCTGACCCTGGCCTCTGGGGGCTCACTGGGCTGCCTGGTCCTGCGCCGCGGTAACGCTGGCTGCAGAGAGGCACTGGAGACACAGCTCAAGACGCATGGGGGTGGAGGGTGAGAAGCTGAGAACAAGGGAAGTCTGGCTCTGCCCTTCGGGACAATCAGGTAGCTCGAGTGGGGGTGTCAGGGCGCAGACCCAGAGCAGGAGGACAGAGGGTGCCCAGGGCAGCTGCAGGGGAGGAAGGCCCCACACGTGTGATACGGCACAGCTGGTTTCCCCCACTAGCTGTGTGGCCCGCTACTAGCTATGGAGCCCCCACAGATGAAGCCCTTTTGTTTTTATGGTGGAACGGGCCTGAATTTCAGTCATAGGGAACAAGGCTGCCTTCCCAGCTCCCTGCCCCTTCCACTTGAGGAGAGAAAACAGTTTAGAGTCGTCCAACTTCCACACTCATGCTCTGGCCAAGACCATGGCAGTACCCATGGCCAAGAAGGATACCACAGGCCTTTGTCCCACACAGTGCTTGTGCCTCAGTTGCCCTCACTGGCCAAATGCCCCAGGCTAACCCTGCCTTCCAACTTTGACTTCTCCCCAAATCTGATGTAGATGCACCTGTAAATTCAGCTGGGCTCCACGGGCACGTGGGAGGCACCTATCACATTCCAGGCCTGTTCTGTGCACCACTGACTAAAAGCCAACACCTGTCCCCAGCACGGCAGTATTGGCTCGTAAGCCATGAGCCTGGAGCACCTGCTCCTGCCTCTGCCTACAGGAGCAGTTTTGCTGTCATGGTGCCCCTGTTGGGCAAGAGCGGAACTACAGGGCTCCTGGAGGGTGGTTCTGTCTTGGGTGGCCCGAGTCCCTGACTGCAGTCCCACCCTGGTATAGGGGAAGTGGGTGTGTGAGCCCAGCCTCCCCTCTGCCACAGAGCCCTGGGGGCCAGAGCAGCTAGGTGGAGGAGACAGCCCCTTCCCGATACCCCACACCCCAGGCTGCAATGGCAGAATGCCAGGTGCCTGGGGACTGCTGCCCTGGTGGCCCTACCTAGGGAGGTCCTATTCCCACAGTCCTCTGGGGGAGGCCTTCCTGCCCCCAAGATGCACACGCAAGTACACACTGAGGATGACAACGAAACCCCTGAAGCAACCAGAGCCAGGAGCAGCTCCCTGTCTAGAGCACGGAGCAGGAGAGGGGGGCCTGCAGGAGAAGGGGGAGCCAAGGCAGGGGGGTCCGGCTATGACTCAGGCCCCAGAAAGCTGGTGACTCCCAGGACAGCCCTTCATGACTCACAGAGACTGCAGGCTCGGCAGCTCCCACAGAGCCTCGGCAGGAATTCCTCCCAGCTGGTTGTTCTGCAGCATCCTAGGAGGGAAGAGAAAGAGCTTTGAGGATTCCAGGTGGGCAGGTCTTGGAGGTGGGGGCAGGAGAGCTAATCCCATGAACACTGCCCCATGTTAGACCCCCTCTCTTGCTGTGGCTTCAGAGCCCCAGGAAGAATCCTGGTCCAGCCTCTACCCTGTTAGGAGGGCTCCTAGCATGGGACAAGAGTCAAGAGAATGAGGAAGATAAAGGGTAAATGGTGCACTGGGAAGCGGTGAGGGTCAGAAGTCAGAATGCAAGAGATTCTACTAAGTTGGGCCAGCAAGCACCCGAAGAAATGGAGGTTTCTCTCCCCAGGCCGTTTCCCTTCCATTTAGCTGAGATGCTAACGGTTTCTTTGTGGAAGAGAGGACACGGATGAGGGTGATGCTGTACCTGGGGACCAGGGCTCCAGACAAATGTTTTCTAGCACTGTTATCCACAGGAACAATTTGAAGTGCCCAGATCCTGTGTCAGCCTGTCCTGGGATCCAGTCTCACATAATCTCACAGAGAGGTCCATGCTGACCAGCGGGAGTGATCCACCGGCTAGGCTTCCCTCCTGGAACAGGAGCCTGGCCACAGCGCGCCAGGGTGGCCCCACAGGCAGGAATCCTGAAGCTCCGTGGGGTCCCTTGAAATCCCATGTGCAAGGGCAGAAAGGCAGAGAGCATGTGGGCACCTCTACCCTTCCGGCCAGCCTGACTTCTCTCATCTAAACGGTGAGCATTCTTCTCCCCACCCCGGGGGCCACCTCAGTTCTCACACAGAGGCCTCAGCTTGCTCAGAGCAAGGATCCAAGAGAAAGGACTCTTGGGAAAGCAGGGAGTCCTGGCTGCTCACACCTCCTCGTGAAGCCTGCCCCACGGGGCCCCCACAGGCTGTGTCTGGTCATCGCACAGGTGAACCCACTTCTAAAGAGCAACTCAATGCATCTCCACCCACATCACCTCAGGGTCCTCCCACCACTTCCTCTGCCCAATCCCAGAGAGGTCTGGAAGGGCCTTTAAGGTCTCAACTGTGGCTCCGCCTCCCCGCCCACAGGTGCTTCAGTGGGCCCTTGATTTTCCCCGGTGGCAGGGGACTCACTGTCTCCTCGCACCACTTGTGCCTCGACAGACAGTCTGGTCACCAGGAAGTCCTCTCCTTCATACACCAAACCCAGCAAGCCGGAGTTCTGCATCGTGATGGCTTTGACCCAGACCTGCTTTCCTTGGGGTTCCTGCCTCTGTTCCTCCGTTCTGAAGCACAACTGACTTATACGGGCTGGAAGAACCCTCAGAGGGGAGCAGCCCTTCATTTTCCAAGAGGAGACGGTGCCCTGGGCTACAAAGCAAATTAACGGTTGAGTCAGGAACAGGATCTAAGTCCTTTTTTCCAGACTGGTGCTTTTGTGACCACATTCTCAATGCCTTTTGCTGGTCCTGCTTCTTTCTGCTTGGTAAAGGAGAGTCCAACAGTTTTAGCCCTGACTACATATTAGGATCATCTGGCTTTTGAAATCCTGCCTGGTTAAATCTCCCGGGCAGAGTCTCTGGTGGAGGAGTATTGGGCTTTGGAGGGACTCTAGGTGCAGCCATGCATCTGACAGAAACCTAGTTCTCAGCACCACTCCCTTAGTGAGCACCAAGGCACTGGCCTGGGAGGCCTCTTGGGGCAGAGGCCCAAGTGCCACAGGCACCAGAGAGGCGACTGGTGGTTCTCAAAGCCCTTCCTTTGGTTCTGTGGAGGGGCCTTGGGGTTACCAAGGTGGGTAGGAGAGACTCAGCTGGGAGCCCCACACTGCGCACCCCAACAAGTCCTTCATCTGCCTGTGCATCGGGACTTCTGCACAAGGGGGTTGGGGTTTGGTTTTAGTTTTCTTTTTTCTTTCTTGACTTCTTTCTTTTCTTCCTTCCTTCCTTCTTCTTTCTCTCCTTTCCTTCCATCCTTTCTACTTCCTCTCTGCCTGTCTCTAGGTTTCTCTGTCTGTCTCTAGGTCTCTCTGTCTCTCCTTTCCCCTCCCCCCCTCTCCTTTGCCTTTCTCTTTCTTCTTCTCCTCCTCCTCTTCTTCCCTTTCTTCTTCCTCTCCTCCTTCTCCTTTTTTGAGGGAGGGTCTTGCTGTGTAGTTCAGAGTAGCCTTAAACTCACTAAGTAGCCAAGGCTGGCCTCAAACCCATGGCGATCCTCCTGTCTCAGCCTCCCAAGTGCTGGGATTACAGGCGTGCTCTGCCACACTTGGCCCCTTCTCCTCCTCTTCCTCCTCCTCCTCCTCTTCCTTCTCCTTCCTTTCTCACTCCCCAGCATTGGGCTACCTTCCCAGCTCTTGTTTTAAGTCTCTATAGTTTACAGTGTTGGGAAGTTGATTCCACATCCTCGATTTTAAAGGTGGAAAGATAGTCTCAGAGAAACGGAATCTGTCAACTGCTCTGGTGAAGCACTGGTCTGGCCTCAAGTCTTCCAGGGCCAGAGGAGGCCGATTTCCTGTCTTCCAGTTCCTTGAAAGGATGGGGCCGCACGCGCTGCGTGGGTGAAGGAGCACCCCAGGGTCTCCCTGGTATCTGGCAGCCTTCTCCCATGAGGCTCAGTGTCCGGGGTTCCAGTGACTCAAACCCCCATCTGCTCAGGTTAATTCAGCTCCTTAGCGCAGACGCAGCTTCTGGTTCAGGCCCGACCTGGCTGCTGTCCAGCCAGGTAGAGAATAAATACAGTCAATGTCACCCTTAGAGGCTCCGCGCGGTGAGAAGGGCTACACTAGGGGTGGGGGTGGGGGGTGGGGTGGCTCTCTGAGACACCAGCTCACTCCTGCTCCTCTGCGGCCCCCAGCCAGGGCTGCAGATGGGACAGGCCCCAGCTCAGAAGCAGCAAGCTGCCTTTCTGGACCTCTAGCCTTTCCCAAGACAGCGGGCCAGGAATCCTCAGCCATAGGTTACAGAGGCTCTGGGGAAAGCTCTTGCCCAGTCTCCCAGAGGCAGGTGGGGAGGAAGCCCTGGACAGCCAGCCCTGCTGCCACATCTTGGTCTAGTGAGAAGCTGCTAAGGCCCAGCAGGAGTCTTTCTAGCTGGGGCTCCAGCAGAGATGGCACAAACTGGCTGATTGCAGAGGATGGATGTGGACCAAGACCTGGGCCTTGTTGTCTGCTCTGGAGTGGGCGTGTGTAGAGGTCTGAGGAAAGACACCAGTGAGGAAGAGCAGGCTGGGAACCTTTGGAAATAAACATCCAGAGGCCTGGCAGACACACATCCCACACCCTCAAGCTGGGCGTTGAGACTCATGAGCTCTGGCCACGGCTGCCCCTGGCCCTGAAAAGCTACACAGGGTAGGGGCCCCAGAGGCCCAGGCATTGACCTGTACATGTCTGGGACAACAAGAACAGTGGCTTCCCTTAGGTCCAGTGTGAGTGAGTGGTAGTTGCACCTTCCTGGGTCTGTGGACAGACAGGAATGAGGCTGACATATCGGCAGAGCGCTGTACCCCAAGCCAAGGATCTGGAGATGGAACCCGGGGCCTCATGCAGGCTGGGCAGACACTCTAGCACTGACCTACACTCCCCAGGCCTTTTTATTTTTATTTTGAGATGGGGTCTCACTAAATTGCCACACGCGGCGAGGGCTGGCCCTCTCAGTCCATGCCCAGACACAGCCTATGGGCTTGGGGGCTTGGGGAGCTCGCAGAGGAGAAAAAGACCAGAGTGACACCTCCAGGGAAGGCGTGGAGTGGGTGTGAATGACGTGAGGAAAAGGATCAGCGGGGAACCCCCTTCCTTTTATCCTTTGACCTGGGAAGAGACAAGAGGGAGCAGAGTGAACCCCAGGGACAGCCTGGCTTCTGGAAAGGAAAGCACGGCTCTGAGAAAGTCCTGCACACAGAGGTGGCGGAGAGCGGCTAAGGTGTCCAAAGAGGCCCTCAGCTGAGGGCTGCGGGGCGGAGGGCGGGCCCTGCTGCTCTGTTCTTTCAAATCTGAACAAGAAGCGATGGAAGGACCTGCCACAAGGAGAAGCAACATCAGACATGGAAAAGGTCCCAGGCCTGGGGCACGCGTGCCATCTTTCACTTTGAAGTATTTGAGCAAGAGGATGTTCCGGGGCGGCCAACTGTGCCTGTGGGAGAAAGGCTCTGCCAGCACAGGACCGGCGGGAGCAGAGAGGCTCCTCCGACAGGTGGTCTTCAAGGTGGGACAAAATGGGGTCACTGGAGGGGGGTGGCCTTGGCGCCCCCTGCTGCAGTCCCTCCCGCTGCCTCCTCACTGTGCCAAGGCGCCGCTGGTGGAAAGGGGGCGGGCGGGCAGCCTGCGGTTTCTCCTGAGCTTTGATTTATTGCCTAATGCAGGCAGAGAAGAAAGAGCAGGCTCATCTCTAAGCCGGAGTCTTAGGAACGGGCCGTGAGCCTCACATCTTCTGAAGGCCCAGCTCACACAGCCCTGCTCTCTAATCCGGGTGCAGGTCTGAGCCTGCCATGGGGCACAGACACGCCACCAGCAGGCCGCCCGCACCCCCCACGCTGCGGGCTCAGCACGCCCCACCTCCCAGGCAGCAGAGTTTAAGGAGAGCAAGGCAGAGACGGGGCTGGAAAAGGAGGACCGGAGCAGGGAGAGAGAGGAGTGCAGACAAGGGACTGAAGTTGAGGACAGAGTCGGGAAGGACCTCAGGGTGGAGCAGAGAGGACGGGAAGGACAGGGCCCAGAGGAGCCTGGGACTCAGACTTGGAAGAAGTTGGAGAGGGACATTGTGCTTAGTTGGGGACAAGTGACTGCCCGGAAGCCTGAAGCTCATGAACCATGGAGGAAGGGTCACCAGCAGCCCCAAGGATGAAAGCAGTTCTAAATCAGGGCCACAGACTGGATTTCAGTGGGATGCTCTTGTGCAGTCAACAGCCTACTCAACTATACACAGAAGACCTCCAAATACAGTCAGGGCTCAAAGAGTAGTGGAGCTGGAGTATGCCTCACCGCTTTAAGGAAACCTCCAAAATACATATTCTATTGCTTCAGAATAAGCTCTCAGAACCCTTATTTTCTTGCCATCTCATCCCTCAGGTGGTGTGTCCGCTCCGGGAGCCTCTCCCATGTACCCTCTCTGTCCTACTGCTTTCCAGCCTCACTCATCCCTGAGGACAAGGTGGGGCATGGACTGGGGAGACAGGAGATGCTGCCTCTGCCTCCCCTCCTCTAACATGGGTCAACAGTTCGGAGTTAACGGGAAGCCAGGTGGATTCCCACAAGGTCCTCGACTGCTCTCACTTGTCTTTTGGGTCAAAGGAAAGGCGAAAGGGCAGGGAGGAGGCAGCCCAAAGTCTGAAGGAGAAGGTAACGTCAAGTGTAATGAAAAGTGAAGACGGGGAGATGACAATTAGAGCGACAGGAAGCTCGGTTTGGGTTACAGGACTCCCACGGGACCACGAGGCTCGAAGTGGCCCCTGGAGGGAACAGGGGTTGACTCTACTTACAGGATCTTCAGGCTGTAGAGGCCAGAGAATGCCTGTCCTGGGATGTGGGAGAGGTGGTTCCCCGAGAGACGCCTGGAAGTGAGAGATCAAGGTCAGCGACTGAGATGATGGGGGGCAGGCGAGGGGAGCCGGGTGGTAACTACCCCGTAACTACACTTTACTGAGATCCACCGCCCGTTAGCACTTCGCGGGCCTCTTCAAAATTCCCGCAACAACCCTGCAAGGCACCCATTGCAGTTTGAGTACCTCTGATTTGAAATGCTCCAGACCAAAACCATGTGGGATGTCAGACGTTTTTCAGATTTGGGAAAATTTGCAAATGTATAATTAGCTCTCTTAAGGATGGGTCCCAAGTCTGAACACAAAATCCACTCCGTCTCCTATATACAGGGTCTGAAGGTGATTATTTTGTTGTTGTTGTTATTCTGGGGATTGAACTTGGGTCCTTGGATTTGTGAGGCAGGTGGCAGCACCACTGAGCTAAATCCCTGGCCCCTGAAGATGATTTTTATACGACACATTTTTTGTTTGTTTTTGCCATGGGGCATCACAGCCAGGACCTCACACAAGCTGCACATGTGTTCTACCATCGAGGTGTACCCCGGGACACTGCAATAATTCAGTTGTCCGATGTTTTAACTCCCAGGTGCAGGACTGGGAATGCTCAGAAAATTTCAGATTACAGCTTGGGATTAGGGATACTCAACCTGCATTAACCCTGAACCTCAGATGGGGAAAGTGAGGCTGGGGAGGTCAGGCCCTGGTCCTCCGGGTCACATAGCTGGTCAGGGCAGGGCAGGTGTTCTCCCCTAGGTCTGGGCTTCCAGGCTCATGGCCAGTCCACAGTGCCATGCTGTCCCCTGGGCTGAGCTGAGTCACCCAACCTGCCCTGGATTCCCTACCAAGGGATGGGTGGGACACAGCTCACCCCACTAATTCAGAAGCATTAGGAAACCGGGTGCTTGATTATCCCACCGTTCTGGTCCAATTTTTACTACATCTGTCATAGAGTGATCAATTCTAAAAAGGACGAATGAAGGAGATACATCAATGCCTACCCTCAGGGCCTGCGCCTGAGCAGACAGTTTGATGCCAATGGCTCAAGGACGCTCTGACCTCCAGAGTCCCCGTGTGCATCAGGGGCTGCTGGGAGGCCTGCTGGTGTGGAGAAGGCAGTTTTTAAAAGTATTATCTTGGAGCCAGGCATGGTGGCACATGCTTGTCATCCTGGCACTCTGGGAGGCTGAAGCATGAGCATCCCGAATTTGAGCCCAGCTTGGGCAATTTGGCAACTTAGTGAAGCCCTGTCTCAAAATAAAAAATGAAAAAGGCCGGGGATGTAGGTCAGTGTTGAAGACCTCGAGTTTAATCCCTCAGTAGCAAAGCACTTGCTTAGTATGCACAGGGCCCTGGGTTCCCTTCCCAGCATGGCAAAAGTCTCATTATTTGACATTTGTTGTTTATAAAATAACTGTGAGGGCTGGGGATTTAGCTCAGTGGTTCTGCCGCCTGCCTCGCAAGCAAAAAGACCTGAGTTTGATCCCCGGTACAAAAAAACACTGTGTGAAAGGCATCATGATAACGAGGTCCTCCTCGAGCTTGTGTTCTGTAGCTGTTCTGTGGATGTGTCCAGAAGCAGGAGATGTAGAATCAGCCTTGAGCTCTCAGGCTGTGCCTGTCACCTGCCCTGAACATCTTGTCCTTTGCGCTTGCTTGTCATTCCCACCAGAGTGAGTCACCTCCACTTCTTTTATTTTTATTTATTTGTTTTGAGTCATTTATTTATTTTTGAGTCAGAGTCTCGCTACGTAGTCCAAACTATGTGCTCGCTTTGACAGCACATATGCTATAGTCCAGGCTGGCCTTGAACCCGCTATGCGACCTAGGCTGGCCTTGAACTCGAGGTGATCCTCCTGCCTCAACCTCCCGAGTGCTGAGATTACAGGTGTGCACCACCACACCCATCTTCACAATGGCTCCTCCTCCCCCAGGAAGGCTTCCCTGCCCCCTGGCAGCCCCATCCTCCTGCACAGTGCCCAGATGCCCAATGCATAGTGCCACACCCCCTGCTGACTATGCCTTTGAGGGTCCTTGGTGTCATGAACAAGCTCCCCGAGGGCGCAGGTGAGACCAAGCTTTACTTTCCACACAGAGGGGCCGGAAGACCTGGCCTCCACTCCCAACTCCCGTGGAACAGGCTGGGCCCTGGGGACTGGAGTGGGACGGGGACATCCGCCAAGGGAGTAGCAGGGCAGGGTAGAGATGGGGTTGAAGCTATATTCGGGGCCAGCAGCCCACAGTTTGCAGAGTTTAAGCAAACTTTCCCTGGGAACTATGGTGGTGTGAACACAGGGTGAACGGGGCCGGGAGGTGTTGGAAATGGAGCTAGGATGAAAGTGAGAGCAGGGACAGAGTGACACGGCCTCCTGTGGTGGGCAGGTGTGGCAGGCACTCTGGCTGGGCAGTGGTTTACTCTTGAGCACCCTAGGGATAAGGCCAGTCTGGATTCTAGTGTGATAGGGATGCTGCGGGAGGGATTGGCTGGGGAGCACCCTGGGGAGAAGAGGATGGGAAAGGAGGGTCTAAGAAGTGGACTCTTCAGGCTATGGAGAAGCACGGAAGGCCCTGGAGCCGGTGAGGTGCTTTCGGGTGTATTAGAATGGAGGGAGGAGATCTGCACTTATGGGGTGCTTCACCTCTCGAAATGGGGGTGGCTAGGTCAGGAGCAAGGGGGAGGTGATGGACAACTCAGAAGAACCAGCAGTTCTTGGGGCGGGGATGGAGGCTGACACGGGGGCCACAGTGCCTAGAAGGTGACTCTGGGGAGAGGTGCAGCCACAGACATTAAGAGGGAAACACTTTGTTCCCCATTTCAGACCACGTGGCCCGGCACTGCCACCCAGGGTCACTTGTGGGTCGGAGACCAGCTGAGCACCTGACTGTCAGGAAGAAGCCACCTCCCAAGTCGCTCTTTCCCTTCCAGCTCCACCCTCCTCCGGGGGTGCCCCGGAGCCTCCAGCTGGTGAGGTGGCCAGAGCTTTGCCTCCCACCCTTGTCCCCTGGGGCAATGACTCACAGCTCCTCCAGGAAACGCAGGTGCCGGAAGAGGCCAGGCTGAAGCTCCGTGAGGTTGTTCATGCTGAGGTCTCTGCATAGAAAGAAATTGCCAGGGGAGGTGAGGCCACCCATCTCTGCCACCCAGGCCCCTGCAGGGGACCCCTGGGTCCTACCACCCTCCCACTGGGGGGCATTGCCACCCTAACTGCACAGCCAGTCTGGGACAGCAGCTGCACGCTAAGAATGAGAACAGGGCCACCCTGTCCAGCTTTCCATTCTCCCCTTTGCCCTTTGCCGTCCCTTGTGGGGTTCTCCTGAGACCAGCTGTGGTTGGGACTGTGCAGGACCCTGACCTCCTTATAAAAGGAAGAGACAGGGGGAAATGCATGGATTTCAGAGCAGCAGATGGGGGTCCCCCCCCCTTTTTTTTTTTTGATACCAGGATCGAACTTAGGGCCTTGTACTTTCAAGGCAGGCATGGAGCCACTGAACTAAATCCCCAGCCCTAGGGGGTTCCTTAATGCAAAAAAATACCTCACCTCCTCTTTTTACCAGTGGGGAAACGGAGGCCCAGGATCACTGCCCAGCTGACCTACAGAGCGGGCTCACAGCATTGGTGCACTGGGGCCTCGTCCTGGGCAGGTCGTGGGGGAACATTTTTTCACCATTCCCAGACCACATGGGATTTGAGGCCTGAGGTCCCCTTCTGCCAGTCTCTTTTTTCTTTGCTCCCCACCCCACCCGTCTCCTGCCTTTCTCCTGTGGGAGGTCATGGCCTCCTGGTGCACCCCAGAAGACACCTAAGATTCCTAAGCTGGGGGGATGCGAAGACCTGATCCCTCCACGGCCTCACAACCCAGACCACTCTAAGCTTCCTGTTACCTAAGAGATCCCGTGGGTGGCTTTGGTGTCACTGTCCTCTGAGATGCCCTGCACACCAATGACCATAATCCTCCCATTGACATTACTGGAGGCCTCTCTGCCAGGTACTGGTAAACCTTTATCCAATAATCCTACTTAATACTCACAACAACCCCAGGTTAGCTTCCCTCGTACATTTAAGAAAACAAAAAGAAAAGAGCACAGAATTTCTGGAGACAAAAGGCCCTGAGGCTAAGTCTCCCTCCCTGGTTACCTATCAGACCTTGCGCTCTTGACCAGTGTGACCCTTTGTTTCCTCCTCCATAGGAAGGGATGAATAACAAGCCAGTAAAGTCCTTGTAAGGATTAAGTGAGCTAATGTTTACAGACTGCCTAATAAACAGTACATACACAACAAATATTTGCCTTCGTCCTTCTACCTTTCCCTTAGCGCCCTGTAGACAAGAGTCCCAGCCCCACAGGCCAGGGGGTAGGTGGGGAGGAGTTGGGGCCTTGGTTTGTGGGTCCTGCCCCACGTGTTCTTCTCAGTTTGCACCTGGGGGAGCAGCAGTGTCTGAGGTTGCCTGTGTGTGCCTGACACACTTGGGTCCATCTTATTGCAACTTCCCAACGGCCACCTCTCACCTGTGCCTGCCGCTCTGTAGAGGGAACAGGGTGAGCCCAGAGCAGCCCACCATGCAGCGGAGCAGTGCCTACAGGCCCTTCCGCAGCCTCCTCCTTCCTGGGGAAGCACCCTCGCCCACAGGCCTCAGTGGCTCCACTTGTCCCAGAGAAGAACCTCTGCAGTACGTGTGTCCCTTAGAAAGGCGGGCTGGGAATGGCGGGGGACACGTGCTTGGGAGCCCGTTTCCAATCTATAAAAAGACTGTTTAGTCTCAAATGTTTTATCTTTGATAAAGCTCAGGCTCTGGACTCCATGTCCTCTAAGGAAAGGAGACATTCCATGCAGGATGGAGCCAAGGCCCTGGCATGCTGAAGCCGGGGCTGGTTCTCATCCACATTTCCCTCCTGCTGCCCTGCGGAAACTGCAGGGCCATCTCCGGCCACCACGGCCCAGAGCAGGGCTCAGCCGGCCACATCCAGCCCAACGAGGATCACAGCGGAAGCCGGAGAGGAGCAGAAGGAGAGGATTCCTCCCGGATTTGAAGCCCTGGCTTGGTCTCAGGATGTCCCCAGACCGCATGCCCTGGCTTCGGGTTATGACTGCTGCAGGCAGAGGCAGGGGTACCCCGGACAGTGGTGGGGGATGTGGGGTGTTGTCTACAGAAGCCCAAGCTACAGGTCAGAGTCTGACTGGACTCCTCCTCCTCGAGTCCCAAGTTCAGCTCATCCTCAGCAAGGAGGGAGGTTCGAGGTGCCACAAAACGATTACCTTTAAACATCTACCCTGTGCACCGCTGGATGTGTCCGGACAGGCGCAGAGCGGGAGTTCAAGGAGCTCGCGGGCCATGTGAGTCAGGCCTCATCACTCAGCTGTCCCTCCGGGGGCCGCACTGCAGGCTCTGATGCAGCTCCAAGGCCC